GTTCGGTAAGTTATTGTTACGAAATTTTATTTTAATGTATCTGTGACAGCAATCAAGTAAAAAGGATTTAAACTGCTGAAATTCTGATCACGATGTTGGAATGAAATATTGATTTGACTTGCCAGAACTTTTAATTGTACTTGAGTATGAAGTTTGCTCATTTTTGAAGTGTTATTACAAAATTTGAGCCCCAGTGATAAAGCCGGCATTTGGATTGACCAAAGTGAGAAAGAAGTGTTATTGAATACATATTTTTCTGAAACTCATTGTTTCCAAATACTTGAATCTAGCTTGTGTAATTGATTTCCAGTAACAAATAAACCATAATCTTCATATTGTTTAGGTTCATCTAACGATAAGTTATATGATAGATGATTTCCCAGAGATTCGTTACATTTTTGTTCAACTAGTCGGGATTTGATAACATAGATACAGTTAGGTGTATGATGTTTAAGCTTTTTAGCATTAAGATAATTATAATTGCCCTTTAGTGCCTTCCAGAAACTTTTGGAATACTCATTAACTTCAATACAGTTTTCTAAAAAAACTGGTTTAAATGGCTCAAGTTTGACGGTAGAATGTTAAAACTCATCGAGTCCTTTCATCGTCATAGGTTCCCTGAATTTTTTGTAATCGAGAAATGATTCCCATTTGAACACTAGAAATACGAAGTTCAGTCGAGGGATCTCTTTTCAACCAGTTTATTAATAAGCTGCATAATTGTATACATATGAACTCCAAGTAATAATTCCATAATGACCTACAAATGTTGAATAATTATGATGATGTAATTGAAAGGACATTACATATTATTATTTTCCATACCAATTGTTCATCTATTTCTCTCCACTCCGTTTTTTTAAATACATGCCTCACTATCCTATCATTCTGGACACTGCTTATTATATCATTTTGATACCCTGTAATGAATGTTGTTTCGATATATATCTTTTTCGAGTCCTTGACATACTTTTTATTATGAAACATTGATTCAAGCCTCAATCATTCTTATCGCATCCAGTACACTTGTCATAGCACTATCAATATGTACTTTCTGCTCAATATATTTACTCATGTAACCTATTCCACTGTTATCGCTCACTTAAAAACTGCTTCGATTTACCTAATATTTTCACATACGTATGTGAATATGTTGTATATCTTGAAGGTGAACTGCTGAGGAGTCCCATACAAGGACGAAACGACCGTCCAATGCTTCCAGGTTTTCACTGGTGGTTCAGCTTGCATCGACTCATAAGTTCAACTACTAAAAAATTACTACAATTCTCACAAACACTCATTCTGATCATATTAGGGTAAAGCCTGATAAAGATCTAATTGAAAATAATACTATATATTGAAAATTATATAGAACAAGTTTTGGTGATATAGATACAAACTTTAAACGGAAACTGGTGTTATACTACTAACACTTAAATCAGTAGTTACTCCTATTTCACAAAACATCACTATCGCATTAAAATCATGGAGCAATCAATTAAAATTTCTATAACTATGATTCGTCGTATATTAGTAATAATAATAATAATAATAATAATAATAATAATAATAATAATAATAATAATAATAATAATAATAATAATAATAATAATAATAAAGGACACAACACCGAAATGCTGTTTTATTAAAATTCCGATTTACAGCCAGGTTAAATTGTTAGTTTTTTTTTACAATATCCTCATCAAATATTGTTAATCCTCTATCTCTAGTGTATAACTAAACATTAGTGAAAGTTTCGATCATCAAGTTCATATTCAAAACTACGTCTACATATATGGTGACTTTAAATTTTTCAAATTAAACAACGTGAAAACGGCATTTGGTGATAAGGCAACATGAAAATTCAACAATCTTTGATTACAATCCTTCAGATGAAGAAAATACACCTTGAATTATAGTTACTTAAGAAGGTTGTAAATCGAAAATGACACTATCATATACTTGGAAGTATCGATACCTTCTCATTTGTTCACATGTAGATATATCATACTTATCACTTATGGATCATACAAATGGAGATCGGTTGTCATTAACTGAGACATTTTATTTTGTAACCTAATTGAATTCCTGATGAGTATGTATGGGCTACCGGATGAACATAAATGTACACATGAAGTGTACTATGATTATGAACTACATAGACTTGTATTTTAGTTTCTTCATGATGATAAAATCTTTCAATTCACTGATTCGAATCTAAGTAAAAGCATCATGTTCAAAGTGATTAGTTAGTGAGTAGTGGACAGTGCTATATGCGTATTGTTCCTGATGTAAATCGAGCACTATCTACCAGATTGGAATGTGAACACTAGTCTAAGTGACTAGACATCGAGTGTTAGATAACACCCCAAACTGTGAAACTGGTCTTGAACTCACCAAAGAGCATCAGTTGCCTCAATATTCCAGATACACCCTACTGATCAGTAAAAACAATCAAGAAACTTATGTGTAGAGCTCCCAACTTTCTACCTCCAACCACTTGGTATTATATTGTCTATCGTTATTGCCATGATCTTCACTCTTATTCGTAATTTCCATACTTAACAATTAATTATCTGTTGTTACATCACTCAATAACTCGTCTATCTCAAGTGGATAATTAACTCTTGACATTTTTATTATCATTTAGGTCATTACGTAACTTTTCGATATTTCTAAACTATCTGTGACGCAATCTCAGTCTATACTCTAACAAACCACTATATATGTCAAATTAATATCAATGTAATTGCACAGCTCTCATAAATGATGTCGTCGGAAAAAATGTCTTCTCTTAAATAATCTTTGTTTCTAAAACACGAATTATTCAACCAGTATTCCGTCGGTTAAGTGTGGGATACGTCATCAAAGAATCGGTGCTCTAACGGTGACAGTTTATCAATCTTCGACTAACTAGATTCATTTCGTACTTTCCTATTAAAACTACATAAACTGAATTCTGTTAAACAGGACTGATCTTTATTATATTTTGTATAAATTCTCTGGGAGATTAGCAAATCTTATAATTACCCAAGTTATCTCATATTTTTTAATAATTGCTTACATTTTCCATAAATCATTTAGTACCCTCTGTCCGCTATGCACGATTTTATAGTAACTTCATGAAAATGAATGATATAAGATGCACCTCAACACGAGCAACTGAAACACTTAACTCGAAAGAGAATTGGGTAACCTTGAATTTTAAATAATGAAAAACATGCTAAAATTGGCAACGAATTCGATATATTATACATTCAGAACAAGAAAAGAATAATTCCATGGATTCCTTTTAAATATTTCCAGAGGTATTGATTAGTTGGAATACTTTGTTTAAAATCACTTCTGAAAAAATTTCCGAAGAACTACCATGGATCTTCAATACTGACATTATTATAATACTGAACACATAACACCCTAAATACTCTAGTGGGTGTGTGGAGATTATCCGCTCTTTCTCTCGAAACTCACCGGTTTGCAGCCTCTTCACTGATATTTCTTTTCCGATGAGGTCCCCGTTAATAATCATTGATGAGCTGTTAAGTAAGAAAGCGAGAAATTGGAGTGTAAAATGATATGTTATGGTAGTCTGCTACTAAGTTTCGACGGGTTGCAGCCGAAAACCAATAAAGAACGTGCTGTGCCGTCAATTTAATGATGACCTCAGTGATGCATATACAATTATCACTCTGGTGGTATGTGGGAACCTCAATGTATTAGTAGTTGGATAAAGAGAGCCTGCTTCTCCAGTTTTGTTAAGACCAACATCTGACTACAAGCTACTTAAACTGACCACCAATAAAGTGGAAATCTCACCCTTCTGGAGCATCTATGTAAATACTAAATATGACCTTGTATGAGTTAAGCTAATTTTACCTTTTAGTGGCTTACAGAACTATCGTTGTCGAAGGAGCGGTACAATAAGCTGTTTGGATTTTCTGCTGCAACGAAAGACTTTATTCAAAAATATTCAAGGCTAAGATTCAGTCTACCAAAATGTATCATGCACTCTGGGCCGAGTATTTTAGAAAATCCAAATAGACTGTTATCATGACTTTGACCAAACTTCCTTGTGCTCCTAGATCACTGACTAACGATCCATTGAACGAAACAGAGGCAAGTAGTGTCTAAACAACACACGTCTAGTTCTTTTTCAAGGATATAAAGGAACTTCAAGTCGGGAAAGTGATTGAGCTGTTTGGGAAAGTATCCCATAATATTAGGATGACGCAGTCGTTGATCTCATCTTTAGAAAAGCCCTATGTAAAAAGTATAGGGATATAAGTCTGAGTTTCGCTTCCATACTATTGGCCTCGTCAAACACTATGGGTTGTGAGAGATTGACTAGTAATCACCAAGCTGGTTTTCATACAGACTGCTAGTATATTAATCACGTCGTTGCTGCTCAGCAAAATAATCACTACACCAGTTAACTAGTATCCCTTGAGTAACTCAGTTCTAGGGCATACCAACTATGGAAAGAATAACTATTGATCAGCTATTATTATCTAATATATTTAGTTCAAAGAACACACTGCGCAGAGAATCGAAAACAAACATCAAAAAGATGAACGGCAAGTGGAAAGGATTGCCCCGGACAGTGTTTGATGAGAAATGCGGGTGGGCGGCCTATGCTCCTCCACGAGGCGTAACACGCGTAAGTAATATGTTAAGTGATTCAATATTGTGCAATTAACACAGAAAATCACATAGCTGCAGATTATTTCCCAAAACTTCTATCATAACTAATTCTACCACGAGTGAATTAAAGTGGTAAATAAACCGTTACCTAAAGCTAATTTAACATTGGTAACGGTTAACCGGAGACAATTTTTTGGCTTGGAAAAATGACCAACGTGTTAAATCAACATATATGGATATCGTTAGTTGGATGATTCATTCGCACCTTATCAGGGGATTAACTTCAAAGACGATTTCAGTTAGACTGATCGAGGTGTTTTCTGAACATAATACAGTAATAATTCCATAAGACTTACGAATAAACAAGAATGTGTATTGACAAAATGTCCTGGAATTACACCTCTCTTATGGTTTTTTATCATGTAATAAATCGGAAGACGGAATACAAGAATTATATCACTACTAGTAGAGATTTAAAAAAATCAAAGACAAGAAACACACAAAAGTACAGTTTTACAATATATAAAAACAGGAGATATGCGTGAGAGTATTTGTTTGCAAGAATACCATTTTCTAAACACAATGTACATTACAAAGAGATAGAAGGGTAGAGAAAAAGATGAAAATGAGTTAATGTTTATCAACTTTTTACTTCAGAATATAATTGTAAACAAAATAATGAGGCGCATAATAGTTTTAAATAGTATTAATAGTCATGGTAAGCCGAAATCACTGGATTATTAATAATATTATTATTCATATAGATAGTAATAATAATAATAATAATCATTGTGCCTGAATATTTTCTTTCGAAAATAAGAGATCCTTGTAAATTGCATCAACAAAATTGGTAAAAAAAAATTATGAGACAGAAAAAAATATATGAAAAAATCGTCATGATAAGCAGTAAAAAAGACAACCAAGTAGAAATAGTTTAGTCTTACATATAATCACTTTTAAACCTTTCTCCATTATCATTTCCTAATTTAATTGAATTAACCACTAAAATAGTATTGATAGCCTATAAGTTATCAAAGAGATGAGATTATCATTGTGCGTATGAACATTAAGATAAAGTTTTGTTTGTTTTTAAAAAAAATATTTATAAAATTTATGCTGATTTAGTGAACAGGTAACCTGTTGTGCGTATATTTGATCATCTAAATAATTACAAATATATTCATAAAATAATAACAGAGCAAAATTAAACACAAATACAAGAAGATATGTAAGCAAGTAATCCTAATTGTTTTTTTTTTGTTCTTTTTTTAAAAAAGGCAAGAGGTATCTCTTACTATTATTCACCAAGAAAAATTATAAGAAAATTACACAATCACTAAAAACAATCATCCATTGAATTAAAACTGGAAGAATAAAGAAATTCTTTAAGACAATTTGACATTGGAGTATTGGATAATTTATACCATGCATTTAAATTATGAGTTATTTTAGAGGCAAGTTCACGTAGTGTAGATAAAATCATAATTAAATGAGCACAACGTGTTTGTGATCCGTTACTTTCACAATAACGACGTAATAATTCAGCCCATAAATTTTGTGTACGATTGACAAAGTCAATATCTAATAGATCAGAACGTTCTAAATATATATATATATATATGAGTAGAAAAAGAGATAAAAAATAATTTAGGAATAAAATAACTTATCAAATATTAAGCAAAAATACTAACTTCAATTAAGTAATCTATTTCCAATTGCAAATATATTATGTTCAATGTATCCTCTTAGATACTATTTAGATAGTCATTGTGGATGATTGCTGACGTAGCGGTCAAGGCGTTTAACTAAGTGGTAGATTTAAACCCTGCTCGATTTAGTTTAGCTTGGGCAACCACGTAGTATCAATAGCCCATAAACTTTAGGTATGGTTAAAAGCTAGGTACACCGGTTTGTAATTTGTTTATGAGTTGCTAAATATTTCTCACCTTGTTTAAACGGCCCATTTACTTTCAAAAAATAGACTTTTATATATTTTTGTTAGTTGTTAATATTGAAGCCAAATATATCTATGTAGTATTTTCTGATTTAAAGCTTGAGTCTTAATTTCTCTTTATTTATTTGTTTGAAGGACACACTTTGTTGCTGAAACAGAGGTCCGAACATATCACAAATTGAATCCTCCATAATTTTTTTTATTTCCAGTAAATTATATTTATTCCCGAATCATATTATTGATGCCTAATCTTCATAATTAGCACTGATACTATTATTACCTCTACTACTCTCGGATTTGCTCCAACATCTCGCTTTGTTAATGGGGTATGGTAACTTGAAAAGATACACACACACATCTGGTTCTACGTTACGGTTGACTGATTTGTACTTAGACAACATGAAAGAACACAATACGTTATTTTCTATGGATTTTATCGACACACTATTGTTATAAAATTACAATTTTAAATAAAAAAAACAGATCAAAAATATAACACTGGTCATTAATCATGTGAAAATCCCCTTTTGCAAATCTAAGTTAAGCCAAAGTGAATCATGTAGAAACAGCCTCTTTAATTGTACCCCTATATATATAAGCTAGGTATTGTGAGGCAAGTGGAAATCTCAGGCATATATACTAGGGTATAAATACCTATAAATACTCATAATTTTCAACTATTCGTAATCAAATGTGTCTGATATGAAATATTATTGTGTATACATAATATAGCAGCTGATTACCTGGAGTAAAAAGTATCACACCAATAAGTGGTCCAAATTCCATATTTGTCAAATGTAATCGTTGAAGTCTTGAAGCAAATTGAAAAATACTTTGAGAAGTTATACTATCACAAGTCATATGTAGACAATCCAGAGAGGAATCTGTAACTACTGCATTCGGAAACCATGGACTAAATAAACAATTCAATTGATAATTTATTGATGTAGATGAAAAGTTCATATGAGTCTTGTTCCGATTTTCGCGACATAACATTAATATCTAACAAATGAAGAATACCAAAATCAAGATAAAAGTAAAATAAACATGAATATTGGTAAACTATCTAATGAATTGGAGATCCTAACAATTTTAACCTATCAGGAGACAACACAGATAAATGAGTTATTACACTTAGACTAAGAACTAAGGTATGAATATTACAAAGCTTGTATCAAAGCTGATGTCAGTTCATGATAGAAAGGTTAATCCTAACTCCTAACCAGCATGATCTTAGAAGTTGTTCTCTCTATTTTTAATAGTCAGGCAGCATACGTTATGTTAACTGAAAATTCTGCTAGGAAAATCATATCGGATTTTGAAAAATTTAGACTTTAAAACGCTCTTATAAATTTTAGATCATCGCAAACAATTAGAAAAAAATTCCAAACACTAGATTCAAATTGTTTATTTCACAAATTAAGAAAATTGAAGCTATGAATGGAATTAATTACTTTACTTTCCTCAAGATTAAAAGTTGATTTTTATTTTACCGATTTTTAACCAACCTTACTGGGATACTAATACGTCAAAGGAATAAATACTTACCATTATAAATAATGCAAGCACTTCTCAAGCATATTCATGTTAAGTTTATTCAACAAAAATTATTTATTATGATTAGTCAAGAAATGTAAATTTATTAACTGTATTTAAAGTATTTTAATTGAGTAAATAAGAAAATAATGAAAATTATGAATAGAAAAGATTTATCCATTACAATAACATAAATAAAAATATGCTTACAGCAAGTTCAGGCAAACAATCTCTTAATAGGATAGATTGATCATGCTGAGAAAGTTGTATGAACTGTTCTAAGTGACAGGCGAATTCATGTGTAAATTTAAGTTGAGCAGGACAAAATATTTCATCCACTGTAAGAAGTTTTAATGATTCACCCAATTCATGGGGAGTATGCTTTAAAAAAAAAGAATAGGGGTGTTAATAATAATAAAATTATTCTAGATAGAAACAAAAAAACTGTTCACACAATAATTATAAATATAAATGATACATACTACATAGGAATGTGAAATGTTCAAACTATGAATTATGTCCAATCACATAGAACACAGATGTCGTGGCAAGGAAAGATGCTATCTCATTAATATGTACCAATATTATTAGACATTATTCTGAGTTCATCTCATTGTATTGATACGACTAATGGATATACAAATTCAATTAGAAAAATTGTTAAATTCTTTGTGAATGAGATGAGATCCTTGTTCCAATTTTAAATATCGTTGATTTGACTCGATTGTTTTTTTTCACCTTTTATCTTGTTAATTTATCTTCACCTTTGTGAAATTTAGTACAACGACTGCGAAAAATACAAATTTGAATATTTATTCTATGGTGTGTGTTTATGTTTGTCCATAGTCTGATGTTGAATTCTTCAGACATATTATACCCATATAATCATAGAAACTGGTGGTAGGACAGATATTGGCCGAGTATTCGCAGTAAAGATAACTAACACTACAAAGGTCTAAATTAATTTACATATAAATTTATCACTTATGATCTATGTGTTCAAACTATGTGATGAAATCTAAAACTATGAATAGGGATATTTTTTCTATAGGAACAAATAACCAAATAATGGAAATGAAATATGAATATGTAGAGTAGTAACGAGACAAATCTATTTAAATTAGTAATTTGTAGACTAATAAAAATATTATAGTAATTTCAATGAGTCAGTTGAAGCTAGATCACCATGGAAAACCTGGTCTAGCTTCAATTGACTCATGATCTCAACCATTGAAACTACTATAATATCCACAAAACCCCTTCTGACATTAAAAAAAATATGTTTGATAATCAAGTAAGTAATCCAAAACCCATTGGTTATTCATTTATGGTCGTACTCACTACTTTTATTTTGTCGTCATTCGTTGGTAATCTATCATTACAAAAGTTTTCAAAATAAGATTATTTTAAAAATCACCCATTAAACATACCTTTATGGGAGATAAATGTCTTGATAAAGATCCTGATAAGTGATAATAATCAGATTTAGAAATATTCCAACTATTTGCCTGATATTTGATAGCTTGATCTTTACAATAGTTTAAAAAACGATCAAACTTGTCTAGAGTTTGTTGATCTTCCTTATTCAAATTGTTACTATTATCGCTACTATTATTACTACATAAAGTTAAAGAAATATTAGTAGAATATGGTATTGATGAAGATGATGGTTGAAAATTAGTTGATTTTACTGGCATTTCGTGGGGATTAAGTGTAGTTTCATTTAAATGTGCTTCAGATGGAGTTAAAACTACATCTGCAGAACCTGCCGAATATGCTGATGTTTCATATTTGTTTGAGGGATCTGAACTAGGCAAGGTGACTGATTCACATGAAGACTGTTCCCGTTTTTTGCCATGACGTCTTTTACGAACAGCTTTAAGTAAAAATAATGGAGATATTATTGATCAACAGAAAATATTTGTTTTTAAATGCTAAAAATAATAAGAAATAAACTAGAACGAAGAATGTTTATTTATTTATTTTAACACATAGATATTGGTACAAGAAGGCACCAAATACATATGTACCACACAGATCTCATTGGATATGTGTGAGGGCTGTGATACTACCCGGGTGCCCAAACCGAAGCAGGTGGTTTTCTTAGGGGGCCACACTCCGAGCCTTTGACCTGAACGTCCGACCCACAAGGCAGTGGAGCATCGTGAGATGTAGTCCCATGGTAGCCGGTGACCAACGATTGGTTCATACGCCATTTGTTCCTTCAGGATACTGGAGCCCATGTGCACCATTGGTTTGGAATCCGGTTAAAGCGCCAGACATGAAAACTAACGGAAACGGTTAACTATACTTAAGAAATGACTTATTTATACTTCGTATAGATAAAGTTTACAAAATAGCTTGAAGGTACCTAATATATCGATTATATGTCATGTTGATTGTTCCATGACTACGACAGTGTTTCATTTTGACAGAACAATAATGTTAACGATATCATGAATATAAGGCTTCTCATAGCTTAATCACCCTGGGACTATCTGAACATAGTTTTAATGAATACGAAGCCTCTAGTTTTTAACCTGGTGTATTAAGCATCTCATGTAGGTAGAAAAATTTCACGGCTTAACAAAGAGTAAAAGCCAAAATCACAGCAATTATTATCAAGGTGGTATATTATAAACTTCCTACTTGTTCACTTTTACCGCTTAGTTTCAATGTCACTAATCAATACTCATTATGAAAGCTGTTAGATTAGCGCACACAGTACATGTCCAAGATGCTGAAGCAGGTATTCCAAAATGACATGAAATATGTTTAAAAACAAGTTGATTAACCTTGGCCTTACACGTATAGTATTGTCGTTAAACGTGGAAAATCTGTCTTTGACAACATTTTTGGATATCTTTAACTCAAAAAGATCGTGTTTCAAAAGTATAGAGCACTACCATGTTATGCACAAAATATTTCATGGCCAAACTAACGTAATATCATGTCAAAAATTTATAGTCACCTGTAGCTATCGTCATAAGGAATAACATAACTACCAAAATACACAAACTTCTTGACTATTTCCAAATACTAGTCATCGACGTGTGCATGTACCGGTTTTTACCAGTCTTAAAGTGCTTCATAATTCAACCACGAACTAATTAAGTGAGATTTAGGTAGACAGTATGTCATCACATATTAAAAAGAATCCGTACAAACAGATTCCATTACTTTTCTTATAGGAGAACTAATCTGGGATGCTAGGTACAATAAAATGTAGATTTAACACAATTTTCCTCTAAACTTCAACGAACAAACTAAGTAACGCGCAAACAGAAAGCGTCGTTTATACAATTACAATTTTAAAAATTTTCAACGATTAAAATTAAATATTTTTTTTTACTTTGGTAATTTCTTAAAGAAGCTCAAATGAGATAATCGGATGAAGTACTACGAACTATTCAATCAAAATTACTAAGATTATGCTAAAATAGTTTTTTTTCTTTAATAGAAATACTGAATGATAAAAATTAAGCTCTTTATAATAATCCAAAAGATAATGAGTCATAAATTTTAATAGTTTTCTGTTCAGTAATAAATAAAGCAACGAATTAAACCTCATTTGATGAATACATATGGATAAATTCTACGATAATTGAGCATTTTTCATTCTCATAAAAAATATTATTTACACTAATCACTATTGGTTCAAAGCATATAATCATATCTGCCTTTAAATACGAGAATACTATTTACAACACTAGTATAAATATTTATTTCACATTATTTCATTTCATTTTAAAGTTTGAAATGGTATCAAGTTGAGATTGGCAACCCCATCCCGTAGGAAAAACCTTGCTAAACAAACGCTAACCAGATATATATATATATATATATATATATATATATATATATATATATTAGTCATCCATTAATGATATTACACAATAATCGGGGATTAGGAAAATTAATTCGGAAAATCTGAAAGTGGATAGAAAGGTAGATTAATGATTACGATAATCATCAAATTCAAATGGAATTTGCATATAAGCACGTGTTTGCCCATCATACATAAATGATAATATTAACATATTGAACAATACAGAATTTATTCTTTAGAAAGAAAAGCAAGTAATTTAGGAAATACACAGTTAAACAATGAAAATCCTGTTACTCGTAAAACTTGCAACAAAGAGGATAATCAAATAAATTGACATAATAGTACTGACTAATAGAAAATAAAGTTTAAAAAGAGTCAATGAAATCTGGAAGTGGTTAAGATTAGTCCTAAAAAATTAGAGGAAGATAAAAATATGAAAATGGTCGTTTAATTGCAACCGGTTTTAAATTTCCACCTAAACATCTATAGTTACATAATGTGACTTATTTTGCGGAGTCCGTACGAGAAGTATGAACCTCCAAACATAACTTATATCAACAGTCTATAACCTCACAAAGTGATACCACCTTTGGTCTGACTGATACAGCTGAAGACTAGAACACAAATAGAATAAGATAAAAGAAGTCAGTCAGAAGCTTGGATAAATTGCAATCGTAAATCTTATAGGATTTAACAATAAAATATTTTCGCATGAATGTATTGCAATGCTTACCCACTCAGATTACACTTAACTAATAATATTAGTGTTTTAACTTATAGGTTATTAAGTTAAAGATTCTCAATCGAGTTTAACATATTGGTATTAATCCATTGAAGAATGAGAATATTCGAAAATTCGACCTCATTTAGAACCAAATTTAAGCGTACTAAGGTACAAATCGAATATGATAGATGATTTTCTTACATGCCGTAAAAGATGCCTTCACCAAAACATTTTATTAGTGAATCTAGACTAACCAAAATGTTAAAAATAAATAAATGGAGTCAAACTAATAAAACTAATCAATTTGAAAATTTTTTTTAGATACTCTGCTTATTCAATTAAACAGTATTTAAGAAAGTGGGTGAATTGGTTATCAAACCATAGAATACGAATTCGCAAGATATTAGTCTCTCCACAAATAAATCAATAACAAAATGCATGAATCTCAAAATGAAATATGAATATTTTCGGATTTGTTAATATGTTTAATTGATACGTGTTTGTAGGTCACTTACAGGAATTGTTAACCTTTTCTAGAATGACCATCCCAACTCATCTTGCGAAAGACTTGACATCAAATTTATTATGTATTTATTTGAACACATAAATATTGGTACAAGGAGGCACCAAATATATATGCGCCACACAAAACAATGAGAATTTGAAGAGAAAGGAGAAAAAAGACAGAGAGAACAATAATGGGGAAAACGGAAAGGTACAATCAGAAGAATTCCTTAAGTTAAGGAAGAAGCAACCACTTTTTATGAAGGAAGTAAAAGAAGGGTACGGCAGGATCGCCATTGGCTTCTATTCTGAGCCATATCTGATAACGTCTCTAGCCACTATGTTACACCATCTCTCGGACCCCAGCCAGGGAGTCGTGAACGACCAACACAAGACAGCCCTTTGCAGCTTTCTTCCATACCACGACACCATGTTATACACTGACCACCTCCCCGCTTTTTCCAACCAGTCCCAGAGTCGGCAAATAATGCACGACGTGGAATTCTCTGGGACGACATTCGTAGAACATGTCCAAGCCACCGAAGTCGGTGTTTCAAGATGGTGACACCAATTTCATTTTCGTCTCTGTGACCGAACACACACGATGCCGAACCTCTGCATTACTGACATGGTGTCGCCACTGGATGCCAGCAATCCTTCGGAGACAACGATGATCAAACACAGATAGTTGTCTAACATCCTCAGCTCGGAGAGGCCAGGTTTCACAAGCATAGAGCAAAACTGCTCTCACCGTCGCGTTGTAGATCCGACCTTTTACAGCCAGACTAACATCACGAAGGCGCCAAAGATGGCCCAGATTGGCATAAGCCGCTCTGGCTTTCACTATACGTGCATTGATCTCATCACTCACGCCACCACCAGCACTTATGCAGCTACCTAGATACACGAACTTCTCGACTACTTCTATCTGCTCACCATCCAGGGTGAGTACAGGATTAGAATCCTGCCAGTCTTGTAGAAGTACTTTGCACTTCGAAGGTGCAAAGCACAAATTAAATTATTTTGAAAGATGAGTTAATTTTATCAAGTTTAGTTCAGATTTGTGGAATTGAACGAAACAAATGCAAGAAAACAACACTAAGAAATACATTGAATGAGAACACGATAAAGGAATATGTAGATGTAGATGAACAAATAACGATAATATAATAGTTGAATTCATGAGTCAATTGAAGCTAGACCACCATGGAAAAACTGGAAGCACTGGACGGTCGATAGGTCGTGGGTTCGAATCTCGTGGGGCAGGATCGTGGATGCACACCGCTGAGTCCCATAATAGAACAGAACGGATGTCCAGCGCCTCCAGCTTTCCCATGGTGGTCTAGCTTTAATTGACTCATGAAGTTAACTATTAAATTACTATAATGTCCACAAAACCCCTCTTTGAAAATAACGATAAATAAACAACTTACCATCTCTCGACATTCCCACAGCAATGCACTTGAGGAGTCGACATTGTTGACATTTATTACGAAGCGTTTTATTTATCTCACATGTACCATTTTTAGCACAAGTATATGATTGATCACGCTGTATAGCACGTCGGAAGAAACCCTGAGTAAATGTTTTAATAGTGTTTTGTAAATAGGTTAGAAAAGTACCATATTTAATAAGAAAATCACAAATTTATTCACATAACCTTAGATTAAAATGTTGTTGATTAGAAAGTGGATTAAAACACGGAAAATATGTTAGGAGAAATTTCATTTTTAAACCATCCAAACAGTTTACATCAAGCATTATTGTGTGTCGGGGTAGACAACGAGTGGGCACAAGTAGTACATATCCAAATCACCTTATGTGATGAAGATCCACAATTCTACCAACCGATTTGCCATACTTCCTCAGTACTACATCCTTAAGTGACGTCGTTGACTATAGCCCTAATATCGCCCAGAAGTAATTTTATATTATGTAATAGGAGCTGTAGTTTACATACGAATGAGAACGAATTAAACACTGTTATATGACTAACTCTGCTTGGAACCCTTTTAGGATTAATGCCGAACTCAATCCTGGGTAAAAGGGAAGGGTTTGCTATGGGGTTAACAACAGCCCCATCCCGTAAGTAAGAACCTTGGTGAAAAAAGCTAGTAAGAAGAAACCAACCATCTGGTTATTAGTTTATTTATACAACATTGGACTAACAGCAAAATAAATCAGTTTTTATTAAGGCACATTTACGTGATGAAGGAGAATTTTAAGATAAGCCGTAAGATTAGCTTGTGATATATCTGAGTACCTGTACTCAGAAGAAATATGCAGAATACATGAAACAGTCCATTTGAGACGAGTTCGCAGATATATGATATATGGATTATTTGATGACCTATCTTTTTCAAGTACATTGGACTGGTAAAAATATACCCAACAGGATCACAAGACATAGAAGAATTTCGTATAACTTGTTAGTTGTCTATCATTATACACATATCCAGGCAAATTTGATTGTCAGCTATGGAGCCTTGTATTCATATCTATTTATATCATCATGATCTGAAACACGATATAGAGCACTAGATGTATTTTACGTTATTTATGAGTAACCATTCGGTGCACGAATCTTTTATTGTCTGATATGATTAGAATTCGTCCAACCATATTAAACTAATTATTTACCTCTTTGCTTATGCTAAATGCCTACCACTACGGATGGTTTTATTTTTTGAAAGTAAGCTGTAATTGAAACTAATTACTACTTGTTGCGGAAGATATGAGTGTGATTTATCCTTAACATTTATCACATCGAGATGTCTGTTTTTTTTTAAAACATATAAAAATACATTTCTTCGAGAAGTTATGAAAATCTTCTGAATTTGACTATCTTCGGGTGCACTGTTCAAGTAAATCTAATACTGGACGCTTTTGAGATTAAATGAAACTCGAATATTCAATGTATTGGAAAATAAACACAGTAGTTAGCATACTTTACAACCCTCGCATGTAGAGACACCATAATGGAATCCTGAAGCTTTGTCACCACAAACTACGCACATTCGGGTTGAAACTTCAGATGATCCAGACGATTTGTGTGTTTGGTCAACTTCGGAAATGGGGGATGTTTCTGTAAAAAAATGTGAACAGGAACTAACTAGTCAACCTTGTAAATATTCGAGTAGTGGATTATAAGCGAAACCTAAGTGAAAATTAGTGATGCCAACTACCTGCCAAAACACTAACAGTTCAAAACTCGAATGCTTGAACTGATAAGATGTCGGTAAATAAAAGAACAAAATAACCACCTACCAAGAACTCAAGTACTACTTTCCTGTGAAGATCTTTAGTTAACTCAGATAATTAAATACGGGATACCAAACGTTTCCGATTATGCCTTCAATAGGAGTAGTCAAGTGTACTAAGAATCATTTAGATAATCAATACCGCTGTTCGAAAGTTAACCTCCATCATACATAAATATATGGATTCGCTTCAGACTTCAACCAAGCAAATTTGATGTGGATCTTAGTGGCGCTTCGTTCATCTGAACATCAGCAAAATCATCGGGTAGGAGTGAAGTAGATCTATAGTTGCAAGAGTTTTGTGAGACTATTTTAACCCTAGTTGTTGTACTTCCTTCTCTTCAAAAACATTGATAAAATACTTAAGATAATCGTAGTATTTTTCCGTAAAAACTTATCCCATAAGGTTGGTCCAGAAATGTGAACCTGCTATCATTCGAAAACGTCTAGCCATTAAATAAGTCATGTAGTAGAATTTTGTTAATGTCTCAACATATCTTACCTTGTTAATCACACTGATTATGTTTTGTAATTACAGTGCACTGCACTGCATACAACAAACCTTTGGTAAAATCTATTAACTCACTCTCCGTTGTCCAGAACCACAAGTTCTTATGTGTCATGAGAATTCAATATACATGTGAAATTAGCATTCTGCTTGGTTGACGTAACAGGCTTACACTAAATTTTCCATATTAGTGATCGAGATCACGTTTCAATTCCAACAACTATAAGTTACCAAGACACTTATCATAGTCCACCTGCCAGGAGATATCCTAAGTAGCTTCTTAACAACAAATCTATAGTAGTGCCAGCCAAATAAAACAAGCCTTACATTGAGGCATATTGGAAAGCTATCCACCATATTTCAGAGAAACCGAAAGATCTCGAATATGAACAGGCTGACAGGTGAGTAGTAATCCAGTAGTTAAAGCTTTTAACCACCGGGTTGCGGCTTTGAACTCGACTCAATCAATTTCGGTTTGAGCAGTTGGATAGTACCACAGGCCTGTATATATTGAGTGTCTTAGAATGAATAAAGCACTACTTGGTTACCGAGTTACATAAACTAAATTAAAACTAGTATTTGGATTTTAGATACAACTAACTGAACTAGAAATCCGCCGACAAAATGGTGAGGAAAATCTCCGGTTAGTCAGTCAGCTGCAACGTAGGACCAGGCACGTATATGCATCGGTCCAAGTTGCCATACCGCATTAGCACAACAAGATGAACACCGGATTCATAAAAGCAGTTAATTCAGTGGTGGTAATATATAGAAGAAAGATTGTGTATAAGAAGATAGTACAGGAAGATAGAATTAGTTCCAAGAAAGAAAGATTTGAAGTGATTTTAATCTCTTAATTTAAAGGAAGACAGAGAGTGTATACATCGACGCCATTGTGATCGATTCTGAGCAACGTCACCAAGAGTCTCTAACCATTGGTTACGATAGTCACGCGGACCCCAACCAGGTAGTCTGCATCTACCAACATGGCTCAGACCAGAAGTTAGTGACTTCAAGCACTGATGACACGTTTTGGTTTGGTTGTCCCTAACTTTCTTCCAATTGTTCCTAACACCGGTTAGCGTTGCGCGTCATGGTAATCGGTGTTCAGACATACGCAGCACGTGGCCCAACCATCTCATTCGATAAAGATTCACAACCTCATCAACTGATTTACCATCATTCCCTAACACCCTGCGTCTAACCTCACTATTACTCACCCGGTGATCCCAGCAGATGCGAGCAATATTTCTAAGGCATCTGTGGTCAAACACTAGTAACTTACGAGTATCTTCTACTCTTAAAGGCCATGTTTCACAGCCGTATAGTATAACGGAACGAACTGCCGCGCAGTATACTCGTCCCTTAATTGATAGACGGATATCTCGCCTTCGCTATAGATGACGTAAGTTGGCAAAGGCCAAGCGAGCATTTCGAATCCGTGCTGAGATTTCGTCAGACACCAACCCATTAGGGCTGATCAGACTTCCAAGATAAGTGAAGTTGTCGACGCGTTCGACTACTTCACCCCCTATCCTTAGTTCAGGTGTTGACGCAGATCAGTCCTGAAGCAACAACTTGCATTTAGAGGGGGGAAAGCGCATCCTAAACATCCTGGCATTGTTGCTCAGTGCTACCAAAAGACTCTGCATTTCATCAGCGTCTTCACCAAACAGGACTATGTCATCTGCGTATTCTAAGTCGATAAGTGGACCTCCTGGTAGGAGATCAATACCTGAGAATTCAGTCGATCAGAGCGTTATTTCCATCAGTAGATCTATGATGAAGTTGAACAAAAATGGAGAAAGTGGACAGCCTTGGCGGACGCCACTTGAGGTTGCGAAAGCAGATGACAGTTCGCCATAAGCTCTGACTCGACTAGTAGTGTTCGAGTAAAGAGCTTTCACAAGGTTTGTGTACTTCTGAGGTACGCCTTTCAATGACAGACACTGCCACAGAACCTCTCGGTCAACCGAGTCAAACGCTGCTTTTAAATCAAGGAAGACCACTATTGTCGGACGCCGATAAGTATGTCTGTGTTCTAGAACCTGACGTATGGTGAATATGTGGTCGATGCAGCCACGACCAGGTCTGAAGCCAGCCTGATTTTCACGTGTTTGCAGCTCACGAGTCTTAGTTAGGCGTCCGAAAATTATCGAAGCTAGTATTTTAGATACTATATTAGTCAAACTAATCCCTCTGTGGTTGTCACAGGATGATTTTGACCCTTTCTTAAATATTGGGACGATAAGTAATTGTGACCAGTTAGATGGGATAACGTCTAACTCCCAGATTTTAGCTAAAATATTAGTCAACCTAATCGCTAAGACTAGACCACTATCCTTAAAGACCTCTGGGGCCAATCCGTCTGGACCAACTGTCCTTCCTCGTTTCAGATTAGCTATAGCCTTTTGAACTTCAGCTAGAGATGGGGGACCTACCTCAATGTTCCATTCATACTGTCTGGGAATAGAGGGTAGTTGTAGAGTAGCTGAAGGCCAACTGAACTGCTCCTTAAAATGTTCCGCCCATCGTTCTAAACGTCTGGACTGGGAGCAGATGAGAGGGTTGTCTTTTTCCGAAATAGTCTGACTTACACTTGATTTATTAATTCCAGTTTCTTTTATTAGTCTGTAGAGTTGTCTTGTGTTCCCTATAGCCGCCGCCTTTTCCATCTCTTTTGCTTTCGTTGCCCACCACTGCTCACGATCGTTCCTTAGACTTTTGCTTAACCTAGATCTGATTTCTTTACGCTCTTCATCGTGTTCAGAACCTGATGGGATGAGTTTACGAGAATCTATCAGTGCAATAGACCTTGAAGAAATCCATTGGTTCTTTGTAACCCTGTGGTTTAAATCACTAGTAGATGCCACTGCTGTTTCCACAGCTGCTTGTATGTCTTTCCAATCAACATCGGGGTCAGCCTCGTTTTCAGAACTACCTAAGTGTGACCTCAGTTGTTCCTGGAACCTACTTTTGGTTTTCTCATTACTCAATTCTGTTCTAATGAGTCTTTTTTGTGTGGTTTTTTTGCGTCCAGTGAGGCGCAAGCAGATGCGTGCTCGTACTAGGGCATGGTCGGAGTCCAAGCAGGTACTCCAGAATGAGCGACAACCTTCTATTGACCCTCTCCAACGATGACTGATGGCAATATGGTCTATTTGAGTCCATCGTTGGTTTGGTGCAGGGGGTCGCCATGTTAGACGATGTCTCTCCTTATGCTTAAAATTTGTGTTTGCTAAAAATAAACGATTGTCTGAGCACAGTTGCAGCAGACGATCACCATTATCTGTTCGCTGTGCCGGAATACTAAAATACCCACCTAAATGTCTTTCTGTTTCGTTTAAGCTACCTACCTGGGCATTAAAGTCGCCTGCTACGAGTACTATGTCTGAACGTCTAGCTTTCTGAAGAAGTTCAGAGAGTTTTCTGTAAAATTCATCTTTCACTTCATCCGAACTGCAGTCAGTGGGACGTAGGCAGAAAGGACGAAAAGGCAACGACGTGTGTCCCTATCCTTTCAAGTTCTTACGAAGCCGTTTAGCCGAACAGCGCATAGACGACTATTAACGGGGATCCACTCTAATAGCGCTTGTTCCGCCCTCATGCTAAGTGCTATGCCTACACCTGCCAGTCCACGAGAACTAGCCATCGGGTCGCCAGATACACGGAGGGTGTATCTCGTTGGCTCTCCGTTTTGCCGAGGTGAGGTCAAGTGAATGACCACACTAGGATCCTGTATGCGTGTTTCGGAGACACAGCATACATCAATGGTACGAGATTCTAAGGTTTTAGCCAAGGAAGCTGCTGACCGATTTGGCATAGTGTGCGTACGTTGAAGGCTCCAATGTGTAGTTTGGAGCGAGGTTTCAGTAGACCTGGGATAGTGTTTTGCGCACTAGAATCGTTGGCTGTGGTGACACTTGAGGAGGAAGCCGAAAGAGGGAGTTTAGATTTGAAAGTCGATGTAAGAGGAATAATAGGAATTGAAGAGGTAGGTTGATTATGAATACAGTGGTCTTGAGTGCTGTTAGAGGTATGAGGGCGGTTATCACTTCCCGGTTGCCCACATCGTGGAAGAGTTCTGCTGGAGGTACCTGAAAAGGAAATTGGATTAGAGGTGGTCATAGTGACCTGAGAGTGTGACCGCAGTGCCCAAGGGACAGCTGCTTGAGGTCGGTCACACACGACCTTTTTATGAGTGATTTTTGTGTTAGCTCCGTACTTGTTGAGACCTTACCGCCGGAGACGGATATCCATGGGATAAGGCGAGGTGTGCATTTCTAGGGTCGACCTTTTCTAACCCCAACCCTCCTTTTGGGAAGGCAGTATCGCTGTCATGCTGGTTGTCTGAAGGAAACACCTTACTGCTGTCACACCTCTGTACAGTCAGCAGTACGACTTCGCCTTCGGACCTTGGTTTTGTTGCTTTTAGTCTTACCGCTATTCAACCGACCTGTCTGGCATGGTAGGACCTTGAGGAACGGTTGTTCCAGCCAGTATAGCTCAGTTGCTTCATCACGATAGGCAAGCCCGACCACCACGTCAAGGTAGCAACAACGGTCAGGCTCCGGTTAGTGGGTTTTCGGATAGTCAGGTCTTGGAAGCGACTGCTACCAAGGCCTGTGTGGATAGGCCGTTCTACCTAGGAGTCTTATATGCCAACGCTCGTAGCCTAAGAAATAAGTTCTATGAGCTAGAAGCATTAGTGGACAGATTAAGGCCACTCATCGTAGCAGTGACAGAAACTTGGTTAGTCCATGACTTCGACATTACTCCAGAATTATCGGGATACCATTACCTAAGGAGTGATAGACATAGTTGTAGAAAAGGAGGTGGCGTCCTGTTATATATAGCCAATAATATAAATATATGCTCCTCTGCTAGCGAATCCCATGACAGCGGTACTTGTGAAGTCATTAGCTGTAAATCGGATATCGGATGTAGTACATTTATGCTCGGTGTCATCTATCTCAGCCCAATCTGCTTAGCTGATGACTTTATTCTAGAGCACATTCATCTTTGGAGTTTATTTATTTATTTATTTTAACACATAAGTATAGGTACAGGGAGGCACCATGTACATATGCGCCACATGAATCTCAATTGATTTGTGTGAGGGCTGTGATACTACCCGGGTGCCCAAACCGAAGCAGGTGGTTTTCTTAGGGGGCCACACCCCGAGCCTTTGACCTGAACGTCTGACCCACAAGGCAGTGGAGCATCGTGAGATGTAGTCCCATGGTAGCTGGTGACCAACGATTGGTTCATACGCCATTTGTTCCTTCAGGATACTGGAGCCCATGTGCACCATTGGTTTGGGGTCCGGTTAAAGCGCTGGAGTACCAATACCAGATGCTTGATAATGGGAGACTTTAATGCACCTGACATTAGTTGGACTGAAATGACCACAGAAGGATCTATAAACTCCTTTGATAATAGGTTCCTGATAACAATAATGGAGCATGCATTAGTGCAGCATGTATCCAAACATACACGTTTTGGTGCTAACCAAGGTTCTTCTCTGTTGGACTTGGTGGTCACTCATGATACTGAAGATATTGTCGACCTAAATGTTCTCCCACCGTTAGTGAACAGTGATCACGCTGTTTTGTCATTCTCGTTTAGAACTAGGGACATGTTATACGACCAGGTCACATCCCGCCCAAATATATATGGAAAGCTAGCATATCAGCCATTTAGGAATGCACTGCTAAGAAAGATCAGTTTGTAGATACTAGCTTATCAGTTGAAGAAGCATGGTCTGTATTTAAAGGTAAGTTTAATTTAGTTACGTCCTCGTTCATACCATACCTGGTACAGCAAAGACCGAAAAATAGTCCACCATGAATAATCAAACCAGTTAAGAAACTTTACAGAAGAAGGAAGAAGCACTGGAATATGTTCATTTCTACTGGCTTAGAACAATACCGATCCAGTTATTGTAAGACTAGGAATACCTGTAAAGCTTTAATAAGTAAGACTAGACGATCATACGAAAAGCAATTGGTTAGGTATACTAGATATAGTCCGAAACGGTTATTCTCGTATATAAAAAGGCGAACTCAGAGAAGTGATGGAATTCCATCACTTTCGATACCAGAAAATCCGTTAATCTTGGCAGAAAATGATACCGAAAAAGCTGAAGCTTTATCGGAATATTTTAGTAAAATGTTTTCTATCACTAATGAGGAACGACCAACGATTCATTATGACCGTAACGGCTCGCTGATGGATCCTGTGGTCATTGAGAAAGGTACTGTTTTAAGGCTACTTCAGCATATCAAACCTGATAAGTCTAGTGGTCCTGATAATATTCATCCTAGGATTATGAAAGCCGTATCAGATGTAATTGCTGAACCATTAGCGATACTGTTTGACATGTCTCTGAAGCAGTCCAGACTGCCCCCAAATGCCCTGGTACGGCCGAGAGTGGGGAGAGTCCGCTCTCCCTCTCGAAATGCTCTCACATGGCCACGCGTACATAGCCCCTGCCAGGGAAGTCCTACTCACTGCCTTCACGTGGCGGGGGTGTTGTTTACGAAAATGACAGGACGAAAAGCGAATGTCCGGCGCTTTAACCGGATCCCAAACCAATGGTGCACATGGGCTCCAGTATCCTGCGGGAACAAATGACGTATGAATCAATCGTTGGTCACCGGCTACCATGGGACTGCATCTCCTTACAATGCTCCACTGCCTTGTGGGTCAGACGTTCAGGTCAAAGGCTCGGGGTGTGGCCCCCTAAGAAAACCACCTGCTTCGGTTTGGGCACCCGGGCAGTATCACAGCCCTTACACAAATCAATTGCGATTCGTGTGGCGCATATGTATTTGGTCCGGTGTATAAGGCTGGGAGTAGGGATTTAGTTAGTAACTATAGACCCGTTAGCTTAACTAGTGCAGTTGTAAAACTGATGGAAAAAATCATTCGGACATCTGTTATAAACTATGTTGAAAGGCATAATTTTTTCTCCAGGGAACAACATGGTTTTCGGAGAGGCCTATCGTGCTTGATAAATCTCATTGCAAGAGAAGATAGGGCTGCTGCAAAAGTTCAGAATATTCCTGTAGATTTGATCTTCATAGATCTAAGTAAGGCTTTCGATAAGGTCTCCCATTCTGGTATTAAACTCAAACTGGAGCGCTTCGGAATCCATTATACAGTCGTAGATTGGATAAGTAACTTTCTCCATGACAGGAGACAAAGGGTGAGGGTTAATGGAGCTCTCTCCTCGTGGGTACCTGCAAAAAGTGGAGTTCCCCAAGGTACAATTCTCGGTCCTCTTCTCTTTTTACTTTATGTAAATGAACTACCAACTGTAGCAAAATCATCCGTTCTACTATTCGCTGATGGCATAAAAATTTGGAGACCCATACACAGTATGTCGGATAGAATAGTATTACAGAATGATCTTAGCTTATTGGTGGCATGGTTAGACAGGTGGTCACTTGAAGTAAATCCTAATAAGAGTGTGGTGATGCAATTAAATAACAATGATGAATCGTATCACTATACAATACGTGGATTCGTACTACCCAAAGTAAGAAACTATAAGGATTTGGGAGTCATATTAAGTAGTGATCTCAAAACCACTAGTCACTGTAAGGCTGTTGCTGCGAAAGGCTATAGGGTATTATGGTCTATTCGTAGGTCTTTTCAGTATTTAGATGATGAAATGTTTAGATTACTATACCCGATTTATGTGCGACCACATTTAGAATATGGAATTCAAGCAGCGAGTCCAACGACGAGGTACTAAGATGGTACAAGGTCTATCTGAACTATCTTATGAAGACAAATTGAGACACCTCAACTTATTTCCGTTATCTTACCGTCGAATACTGGGTGATCTAATATTGGCTTATCGTATACTGAACAATGACCTTGGTATTAACATGTCCTATCTTTTACTTCCGTCTAGGACTGATCGTTTGAGAGAACACTCGAAAAAAACTCAAAAACCGAGATCAAATCGTTTATGTCTGGAGTTTCGTTTCTCTCAACGAGTAGTGAATTATTGGACGAGGTTGGACCTCCACAGTATTAAAAACTGCAAGGATTAATACAGGTCGATAGACTTCCTATCTTTATTACTGAAGACTAAAAGCCGTCCAATAGTTAACACAATATAAACAACAGAAAATTCTTACATTCTGTATATTTCCAACTGACTATCAAGTTCTCATCATGCGAATGTAAACAGATGATTGTACTTGTAAAACGATAAATTTGGTGTATTGATTCGAAAAACTCAGTCATATATTTGGAAACAGGGTAATGAAGGATATTCTATATTCCAAAATATAGCGCTACACCGGCTGACCAATTATTTGAACCCATACATTTTCACATCATTTGAAGTCATATGTGATTACCTCGAACAACATGTTACAATAAGAGACTTAGCAAATATAAACATTTAAATGTTGAGTCACCAATCCAGGAGCACGTAATTGCGTTGTCAGTTATTTATTAACTTAAAATCTACTAAATATTTATACTTGAATCGCCTTTGTATAGGACAGCCCTGATTATACAAAATCTAAGATCATATATGGAAATATTTGGGAGATATAAGCTTTAAGATGAGTGCACAAGAAAAATAGATTTTCTTCCTATGAGTCAATCATACAAAAAGAACTTACTTGGATGGGTTTGATGTTGAGTTGTCTTCTCAGTATCTACTACAGGATAGTACTGTAATAAACTTTTGTCCTCTGAATCATCTGTTAGCATACTCTGATTAACAGACGACTGAATACTATTATTAAGTAATTGTTTGTTGCAGGAATTTGGTTTGTCAATTGAACAGCGTTCACTATCACAATTAACATCAGTGTCATTAAAGATATCATGTTCAGAATTTCGATCATTAATAATAGCGACAAACACTCGATCCAAATCTAACCCACCGTCTTCTAAAACAGTATGGTCCATAGAAAGTGGATGAGTGAAACCAGTTAACAAAGGTTCACTAGATTGGACAGGAAGACTTGGGTTTATTGATTTTAGAGGTTGTAAAGGAGATGTAAAACATGATTGGTTGTGTGCATCTGGAGTAATAAACGTCTCAGATACTATTTTGTGAATGGCCTCCGATTTTATTGGATAAGGAAGATTGTTATCGAAAACACCAGTGTTCTCAATATAAGAGTGTCCCGGAATCGCAGTAGGTTCTGTATCATAATATTTATTAGGAGAATAGTGTGAAAGGTGATTTGATTTATCTAAGAAAGAGCCAACACCAGGAAGAGTCGTACTTGATGATAGAGAGTGATATGAAGGACTAGACGACTGACAATCTGCAAACGAGACACTAATAACAGAATCTGAGGTAATATAAGATATGGTATTCTGGGAATTCGGATTTGAATATTCTACAGGACAATGGCTCATCTGGTAAGATAAAGGAACTCAATAAAGCATTATTTTATCCTTTAAAATAACTGACTGCTAGGATTATAAATCAATCCTATATTCCTGAAAAGTCAAGAAAACAATAAAAATAGTATGTTACTTAAGAGAAATTACATCCTATAAAATTTTGACCGTAAACTAAAAGTTATGAAAGAGCTTATAATGTATTCTAGCTTGAGAGGTAGAACTTGAATATCATAAACTGCTAAACTACGAGTGAGACACTGTTTGCAACTTTGAATATAATCATGGCAGAAATGACTGCTGGTTTCACGACATACTCCAAACATCAGGTTAGGTCAGGGTGAAAACCTACCTCACGTTCCTTTAGTAAGTCAAAATGTTACTTAGGTATTCTTTATATTGTCACTTCTTATCAGAAATCAGCGGTTTCCTTATTATTTTGCGTCTCGCAATATATAAAGAAGTATGGACTTACACCTAGAGGTGGTTTGAGTTTATGTAACCTTACAATAAGTCTTTTAAGCATTCGCTTCAACGCGGAAGTTGTTATGACTTTAACTTGTCCACGGTTTGATTTGTAAGTTGGCACTAGACACTTTCTCGGTCTTGGTTTGGAACTAGCAAGTTTAAAATGCGATTCTCTCCCTTCAAATGTACAATACTACTTCAGTCAGTCAGCTACAACGTAGGACCAGGTACATATTTGCGTCGATCCAAGATGCCATACCTTAATAGCACAACAAAATGAACACCAATTTCATAGAAGCAGTTACTTCAGTGGTAGTAAAAAAAGACTTCATATAAGTATATGATACAGGGAGAAAGAATCATATAAAGTAATTTTTATCTTACGGTGTAGGGGAAGACAAAGAGTGTATAGACCTACGTAATTGTGACCGATTCTAAACCATGTCAACCAGCCTCCAATCAAGTAGTCTGTATCTACCAACATAACTCATACCAGAAGTTAGTAACTTCATGAGCTGATGCCACGTTCTGGTTTGGCTGCTCCTAACTTTCATCTGTCTTCAAAATATGTTACCTTAGGACTAGCCTGCAGTACCTCCTGAATAAATAATAGGGAGCGGACCAGTTGAGTACATCGACCAATTCACTTAAGATTCTCATTAGTCTTGATGGGTTGGTGTCTTAAGAAACCTCAACATGCATTCAGAAATCCCAGTTGGCTTACGCCGACTCGCATCACTCGTGGCGTAGGTCAGATATTCGTTTGCGAACTAAGTGATCAGTACGTTGCACAGCAGTTTATTCTGTTGTAGCTCTAAAGTTGCCCTTTGAAACTTGAGGGCATTCGTAGATTACTAATGTCTGATCGCAGGCATCTCAGAATCACTGCTCGTATATTTTAGGACCATCAAGGTTAGATGCATAGTATCAGGTAGGAACGGAAAATTGATTGGTGAGGCAGTAAATCTTTATTAACCGAGGTGATTAGAATATATGTTACTCATGCCCGACCACCACCTACAACGATGTTCTTTGTAGGAATAGGTTGGAAGAAAACTAAGGGCGATCAAAATAAAACCTGTCACTAAACAACGAAGTCATCGACAATTAGATCGAACCGTGTTACCAAGTATGGACTAACTGGTTGGGGTCTGCGTGATTCACGTGACCAGTGGTTAAACTTTGAATAACACGGCTCAAAATTGTTTGGAATGGCACAGGTGCATTTATTCTTTGTCTTTATTCAAATTTTAAGCTACTGAATCCTTCATAATTTTTCTATCGCACCAGTATATATTTTCTTGTCGAACTGTATCTTTGGTGATTAATCTTTACTATTACCACTGATGCTGTTACTACCTCTAATGCTCTGGTATTTGGCCTGACAATCTCATATCTCTTTACTAATTAGGTATGGCAACTTGGACCGATGTGTATATTTACCAGGTTCTGCGTTGCGAATGACTTTTAAAACAGTGCAGGGCAAGGCGTTAGGACAGTATGTAAAGCATAACAAATGAAACTATAAGACAGGGGTAGCTTGTAAGTAATGTCACGTGCATTTGCGAAACTTTGTACATACAGCCGAGTCACCGAGCAGTACCGAGGTTAGGCCGCTGTAAGGACAATAATCGGTTGCTTGAAGAGTTCGAAGACAAAGGTGGGTTATTAGCTACAATGTGTTACTTAGAATCCCTGACAAATAAACCAACTTTCTCTTCCCTAGGAGTCTGACAGAAATAAAAATTTACTGATATTTTCTCTTGTTCTTAGACAAAAAATCTAAAAGATGTTATGTCGCGAAGACTAACAATCATGTTAGTATCTGTGTAATAGTCTTTCTTTAAAAAGTCACGTGTGACTGACACCTCTTTTTGGCGGAAACGTTCTAGAAACGTGGAATAAAAGCATCCCGCCTACAACTGGATAGATGGAATTGCATGAATGACAAACACTGTACAAACTAGTATGTTTTCTGTTACTGTCTAAAATTTTATTTTCGTTATTAACAGATAATACTTTCTCAATTATCTGTGACTTCATCTTCGACCTGTGCAGAAGTATAATTCACTACTTCGATTTGCTTAACTGGGCTTAGATTACCTAATAAGCCGGTTTAAATCTATCCCCGAGACAAGTTGCCCATTCTCAATTATCGGAATAATGAAGAGGCATACAATTCTAACAAGTACATCACAAAAATGCATGTGTTATTAACCCACACAATATCTTACCTTCAAATCTATGCAGCCTAACCAAACCGAATGGTTGCCGCTACAGACTCATTCGAACATTACAAACCTAAACAGTAATGCAGTGTCGTTGTCTATAGTCAGACCGATAGTCATTTCGTACAGACAACTAAAAATAGCCAATCATATTTTAGCCTGCTTCACTGTTTACTTATTAGTCACTCCTTGCTTTGCTGTAATTGGCTTATTGTGTAAATTTACCTTTGTCGTCAGCTTAGTCATTGGTCACGTGTTTTCTATCATTTATCGAATTTGATTTTGGGTGGCCTGATAGGTTTATGTTAATGCAGACACCATTGGCTCTTCCCCAAAGACACTGAAGCGAAGTCTATCATGATCTTCGTGTTTTTCCGTTCCTTGTTTCCAGTTTGAAGTTCTTTCAGTTGAACCCGTAATTGTATCCATCTTGTGGTGATAACAACAACCCTCACATCTGTCTTCATATCGAGAATGATTTTTTTTCCTTTTGACCTGTCGATAAAAATGTCTTTTTCAAGTCACAAAATTGGGACACGAGACGGGTTCTGCACTAAAGCTAGTTTTTAATCAGCTCGGATATATTTAGTGTAGTAACTTTAGTTTAACAAATATTGGGGTTTATGCGGGGTATAAAACTTAGTTTTGCCTCTAAAAAGATATCTAAATATTGATTTACGCCCCAGAGTAAGCTGGTCGTTAATATGTATTCAGATCGTGGTAGGAAAACTCGCCTGGAGTCCCTTTCCGGGGGCTACTGCCGGTCCCAAGCCCGGATAAAGGAGGAGGGTTGGGCATGGGGTTAGCGACCCCATCCCGTAGAAAACTAACTCGCTAAAAAAACGCTAACCAGAAAAAATTATTCAAACCATTTAAAACATTTTATATGTGAACCTCAAAATAACCAGGCTTTTTTTGGTCGGCTGTATCATCCTCTATCTTTGCCATTGTTATCTATTCGTTCTATTTATATCCGATTGGAGAATTTCCATAAATTATCAAAGTAAATTTCGTTTAGCTTGTTCAATTAGTCACTAGGATCAAACATGATTATTTTTTTCAAATACTTTGTTGGGTATTTTAGGTTTATCTGGTTAAGGTGAGCAAAATGATAAGTTACTCAAAGAAGTGAACTCTAAATCCTCAATAGACAGGTTTCTGAAGACAGACATTTTGAACTAATAGATACTTCACCGTTGGAGTTTATAATTCTCTATAGTTCCTGTACTGTCCTATCTTATGTATGTTTTTTCCTGCTGAATGATGCTTTGATATGGTGATGAATCGTGGTTTTATATCACTCATCCCACTTTGTCTAATGGGTAGCTAACTCAAATCATTGAAATGATTACAAAGTTCGAAGCATAAGTACTGGATTTGAATTTTATTGGGAACAGAAATAAGTATATACATGAATCTAATAAACCTAAAATATGAAATATCTGAAATTCTAAATCTCACTGATTTTAAACTCCAAATTTAGTCTGAGTAATTTGGTATACTACAGCATCCTGTAATAAAAAATTGTCGAGAGTCATCCATCTTGGTGTAAGCTTTTCCTCTGATCTCTCTTCGTCTTTTCATGTTTTATTATTATCGAAAGAAGTTTTCCGTCTGACTTATTATATAAAGAGGCCACATACTTTTGGCATTACTCGTCATTTACTTTTACGATTTATAAACTCTTTGATATTACCCATTAATTTTTACTGTTTCTCATTATTCTTTCCCGGGCTTTTGAGGAGAGATTTTGCTGAGAATGCTGAAGACAGTTAACAGAATGTGTGCTGAATCTTTTGAGGTCATTAGGAATATGTTTGTAAGTATCATTACCAAGGTTTGATTTGATAATTTCGAATAAATCGAGCATTGGGTTGATTGTTATAAATAAATAATATATTTGTAATATCCCAATGAGTAGAAAATCTAATTTTCCACCATGTAAAAACCTTTACATATTTGAGCAGCATCATTGATGAACACGTTGGATCTGATGCAGATGTGAAGACGCGGATCAGCAAAGCAAGAGCAGCATATTTACAACTGAAGAATAACTGGAACTCAAAACAGCTGTCAACCAACATCAAGGTCACAATTTCTAATAGAAATGTCAAGACAGTTCTACTGTATGGGGCGGAAACCTGGAAAACTACGAAATCCATCATCCAGAAAATACAAGTGTTTATTAACAGTTGTCTACGCAAAATACTTCGGATCCGTTGGCCGGACACTATTAGCAACAATCTACTGTGGGAGAGAACAAATCAGATCCCAGTGGAGGAAGAAATCAGGAGGAAGTGCTGGAAGTGGATAGGACAC